AAATGTAAGCACTGTATATGCTTGACATCTGAACAGCTCTGCAATACATTACAAAAACTATACAGCTCTGTAGGGCTAAATCTGAAATATAGCATGAAGAAGGTTGGATTTACTGTGGATCCACAAGCTCCAAAAGACAGAGAAAACTTTTACTCTCTACATCCATGCCAGAACATGTGTTATAGATTAGCTGTAGTCCCTGGTTGTACCACTAGGTTTTTCTGGTAGATTAATCGTAGGAACTGGACTTGCTGGAGTTCCTTGAAGACATTTCATCTCTCATCCAAGAGGCTTCATCAGTTCTGACTGACTAGTTGGGAGATCCAGATACTTAGAACCTAAAGAGCCAATAACACCTGAGTTTCAGGTCCAGTTCATTTCAAGCCCACCAACACCCTGAGACAGAAGCTGGTTCACCCGAAGGACAAGACACCGAGACACAAACAAAGCAACGTGGTGTACGCAGTCCAGTGCAGCAAGGAATGCCCAGACCTGTACATCGGGGAGACAAAACAATCGCTCCACAAGCGAATGACTCAGCACAGAAGAGCCAGCTCCTTAGGACAGGACTCAGCAGTCCACCTGCATCTCAAGGACAAAGCACACTCATTCGAAGACTACAACGTACAGATTTTGACCAGGGAGGACCGATGGTTTGAGAGAGGGGTGAAAGAAGCCATCTATGTCAAACTGGAAAGACCATCCCTCAACAGAGGTGGAGGTCTGAGGCATCACCTCTCACTGGTTTACAATTCAGTCCTAAGATCTCTCCCTAGGAAGAAGAAACCGCATTCACACCCAGCCACAAAAGACCCAAACGAACCCCTTTGTGGCAGGGGGAGCACTAATGACTCACATAACGAGGGGGAGGAGCAACAAACCCCCAATTGAAACTGAAACTCAGGTGTTAATGGCTCCTTAGGTTATAAGTATCTGGATCTCCTAACTAGTCAGTCAGAACTGATGAAGCCTCTTGGATAAGAGGTGAAACATCTTCAACGAACCCAAGCAAGTCCAGTTGCTATGATTAGTCTACCAGGATAACCACGACCTGGATGACTGAGAATCTTCACAGACATCTTCCACCAGGTTCATGTATTCCAGAGGTGCACATGTATGCACAACCTTAGTGACTCATATCATGTTTCTGTTGGCTAAAACAGCAGTGTCACTGTCCTCAATTAATGCAAACAATCAATCCATTCTTCTTTGATAACGCTGTTAATTATTGGAAAAATATTCAAACATGCAACCCAAATTATCTTGGTCACCATAAGGACAAGCCATACATGCCGTGTCTTGTTTTTTTCATAACAGTCTTGCTACCCAGACCTTTCATCACTTCAAAATTGCAGATTTTCTATATTAGGCTTGATTGTGAAGAAACATTATTCAACACTTGTTTTAACATGTATATAACCAGTGCGTCATTCAGTACCTCTCACCTGACCTCTTTAGAATCTGCTGATATTTTTTAATCTACATTAACTCTACTTGATGAAGCCATCCAAATTTTTTACTTGTATACTATGAATATGGGCTGCAGGGTGGCGCAGTTGGTTAGCACTGTTGCCTCGCAGCAAGAAGGTTGCCGGTTCGCATGCATGTTCTCCCTATGCAGCGTGGGTTCTATCCGGGTTCTCTGGCTTCCCCCCACACAGTCCAAAAACATGTTGAGGTTAATTGGTGATTCTAAATTCCGTATGTGAATGTGAGTGTGCTTGGTTGTCTGTCTCTAAGTGTGGCCCTGTGATAGACTGGTGACCTGTCCAGGGTGTCCCCTGCCTTCGCCCTAAGTCGGCTGGGATAGGCTCCAGCCCCCCCGCGACCCCTAATGAGGATTAAGCGGTGTATAGAAATGGATGCTATGAATATTTTCAGATTTCCAAACCCTTAAAGAGCAGAAGGGTTGGTTGGAATTTTCATGATTTTCGATTTGCGTTACTTTTTCCAGTGACTTGGAGCTCTTAAAACTTCAAAAGTACAGGAGATAGACACATTTCAGGTCTGACAAAAACCTGCCTCCAAAACATTCCAAAAATCAACACTCCACATGTCACAATCTCAAACCAAAATCTCTTTTTTTTTTTTGTTCAGAATCATTTTTTCTATCCCTAACTTTTGGCATTGATATTGTGATATCATAATTTGCACCAGTTTAATGTCTATGACACAGAGCTATAGAAACAAGTAATGGTACCATGCGCTATGTGTTTAATAATTGGAGAAAAGTTTAAAAAGTGCATATCAGCATGTTGAATAGGTGGTTGGTAAAACAGGTTATAGCGAATGAAAGGTCTGTGTTTTACCTACAGTTTAATATCAGCCTCATTTCAAGTCACAATTCCTTCTGTCTCAAAAACTATTTTCTAATTTTAACACTCCTGTTTTGGTAGATTTTGACTTTAGATTGTGACACCTGGAGGGGATGTAAAATTGATTTGGTTGCAGTTTTTAACAGGGCTCCGAAGTGTTTTCAATCCTGAAAATTTCATGTGTCTGTCTGTTGTACTGATGAACCTTCAAAGGCCTGTAAATACTGATGGTCAAAAGGTAAAGCTTTACAGGGCTTTATTTAATATGTTAATGTTATTGTACAAAAAAACTTGTGGGTCAGCTGGGAACTTTTCCAGATTTAATTGATTTTATATTGAATCACTCTGTACTGAGCTGCTGTACATGTATTCATGTTGAGCCCGTGCTGAGGGTGAACGTTGTGTTGGTTGTACCTCAACCCTGCAGCGGAGCAGCAGGAGCTCCTGAGCAGTGGAAGTGGACGTTCTGCCACCGACTCTCCCTGCGATGCCATACCCTAGTCTCTTCTGATTGGCTGGAGCGGGGGCGGCCCTGTCCATCCACAAACTGCGTCAGGCGGATGTAGGCAATGCAGGCGGCATCGTCTCCAATCATGTGCACGTGAGGGTTGAGGATGGTGGTGTGGATGGGTTTGCTGTTCTTGGAGAGGACTGGCAGGAAACATATGAAGGTTTAAATATTCAACCTGCACATAGTAAATGTTGTATATAATAGAAACAACAAAAAAAATTTGAAGTGCAGTCTTACGGTTGTCAAAGTAAAATCTGTGGAAGTCCATCCCCTCCACCAGGTTACCCAGACCCTCCGGCTCAAACGAGGTCAGACCGGGGTCGCAGATCTTCCTGCGAAAACACAACAACCTTTTCATATCACACTTTCAAATATAAACCAGGTTTTAAAACTAGCTGATGCACTTGCATATCTCTTAAAAAAATAAATGCAATTATTTATACAATTCTTTAACAGTATCAACTTTGTAAATCAAGAGTTTGACAAAGTAATTTCATAATTTTGGCGAAGTAACTAAAATGTTTGACTTGGAAGCTCAACATTACAATTTGTAACATCATAGTTTTGACTTGTGCCATTAACTTGACTCAATCTCTTGTAGTTGTGACTTAGATTTAAGTTTTGAGTTTCTGTTTTAGTATCTCAGTGTAATCTTGACTTTAAATCAAGGGCTTGGATTTTCTGTCTCTTCATTTCAATGTGGTGACTCAAACTTTTGACCTCTTGTTGTTTTGTTTTGGGTTACCATGTGCTTGTTTATATTTATTTTTCATGTTTTTTTTATTTTTATTATTGTTTCTTTGTGTAAATGGGCTTCTCTCACTGGACACACTTCATCCAGCCCTCCCCTCTCTCTCTCTCCTAGTCTGCCAAGCATTATTCTTAATTATATGGTAAGTACAGAGAGGGGGAGAGGAAAAAACAATGACTGTAATTACTCTTTAATCTTTTAATACAACACATTTGTATGTCAATCAGATTAATGGTTCTCTGGGGCTGATGAGGAGCTTTAATACCCACATTAAAGGCGAAAAGTGCACTTTTCCTGCAGCTGTTTAAAGATTTTAATGGAACAAGACAAAATGAGTGGTGGACTCACGCGTAAGCCTCGAAGTCTCCATTGTTGACGGCTTCAATAAGCTGCTCTGTGATCTTTATGATCTCCTGTTTGCGAGCTGCAGCGAGGAAACACAACGTATGCTACATTACCCTCAATGTGAAGCCAAAGCACCAGCACGGATGCAAAACTCAGCTCATGGCACTTTGTAAAACTCATTCACAAACATTAGAGGTTGAACGCAGCTCAGCTCAGACTCACCCAAGAGCTTGTTACTCATTGTAAGTCTTATCAGTCATCGCTCTTTCATCCAGGATTTGTGGTGAAATCTCCTCCATGCTACTGCACACATAACTTTACTACCAAAGTCCTTACCGACATAACCCCCCTTGTATTCCTAAATTAAACAACCCTTCCTGCTCTTTCTAGTCCCTGTGTATCTCTCTACCTCCATCCTTCATCCATCATTTCTGTTGCTTGCATGTGAGGCTGCTTGAGCTCATCACGCTATTCTTGTCCCAGCCCTTCAGATGAGATTTACTGTGTCCTTCTACCCTCGCTTCCTCTCGACACTGAGAGGAAGGCTTAGCTCGCTCTGATTGTCTCTTACTCCCTCC